CTGCAGAGCCTGAGCCTGCTGCCCTGTACCTGCACGGGTGCTTCCCTGAGAGTTTCCATGAGTAAATCGTATCTCAAAGCTCTTGAGAGCTTGAGGGGCCACTCAGGCTGCGCTGGCTGGGGCGTGTAAGGCAGGAGGAAGGGTGCTGTCACATTCCTAGAGCATGTGTGGTTTCTTGGGAAGACCTATTTTGGAAGCACGGTGGGGGAGTGAGTGCGGATGAGGCCGTAGGGATGTAGTGCCCATCCCGGGGGTGCTGGGGCTCACAGCTCTCCCAAGCTGTGGTGGTGAACGTCTCTGGCTGCCCTTGCCCTTTGCTCTGGGCTGGGGACTTGCGCCAGCACGGCTCTGGCTCTGAATTCCACGGACAGGCAAGGCTTTGCAACACAAGCCTGGCTCAAGAGGGGCTCTGGCACGGGCTGTTACTGGTGCAAAGCTGAACAGCATCTCTCTGGGTGCAGCGGTGCCTCTGCCCAGCTCCGCTCCCTGCGCCGGGGAATCCCGCTCCAGGGAAGGGCTGGGGGCGGACGGGCAAAAACCCCTCCAATTTTCTGTCTGCTGTTTCAGTGCAATCACTTGCTGCGCTGGGTTTGCTTCCCGACCCTCTGCCGCCGTGGGGAAGCTGAGGAAGGCTGAACCGAAGGGGAGAGCAGTGAGACCCCGGGGAGAGGGGGATGCCCGCGTCCCCACCGTCAGCGTGCCTGCAGCGGCGATGGCAGTGAGCAGCGATGCCGCTGCGACTCCTGCCGTGTGCTGGTTTTTATCACTTGTCCTGTAACGGCGAGTATGCAAACAGCGTGCCAGGGGAGAGGCAGCGAGAGTTCCCAGCTATAAAAAGCTTTTGTTTTATCCTGGTGTGGCATCAGCCCGGCTCAGCCTTGGCAGAGTCTGAATGTGCTGCGTTTGGTGATGCTGGAAGGCAAAGCTGGCGCTTGCCCCTTGCTGCCCCATCTCTCCTCTCCTCCCACCGAGCCTCAGCCCCTGCTCGGTGCCCGCCTGCCCTCTCTGGGCCCAGCCAGCTTTAGTGAGCTCGCAGATGCAATTGTGAGTTGAACATAAGGGGCGGAGGATTAAAACTGTGCTTAATACCTGAGGTGGCAGGTCACGGGAGCTTGGGCAGGGATCTGATAGCCAGTACCCTGCTCCCTGCCAGCTGCCGCTGCGCAGGCTCGTGCACCACTTGCCCAGGCTGGAGTCATCCCTTGGGCGGATGGAAACGATCCATCCTGCCCTGGCCGGGCTCGTCCCAGTGCATATCCGCACAGGCACGCTGGGGTACCTCTGGTTTGGACAAGGTCTGGCTCTCCGGTTTGCAGGTGACAGGGTCAGCTCCACCGCGTCTCTGGCTCGCTTTGCAGCCCCGAGGCAGGCTGCAGCGCTGACGCTGTGACCGACGCCAGCCCGTCACCCCTCGGAGTGCGTTGCCCTTCCCCTAAGCGGGCTGGAGCCAGAGCTCACGTCTGCCAAGCTCCCGCGGCCGTCATAAGCTCCCCTCTATCTGCTAAATGCCAGGCGCTGATTTATCCGCTTTCCGTGTCTGGGATCATGCCTCACCCGCGCCCTCGGTGAGGGGGATTAGCAGAACCGGAGCCGTATGTGTGAACCTGAAACACTTAATTAGGATGTTGTGTGCATGCAGCCTGGCTGGGGTGGATAAGGCTGTGGGACAGAGATTAAGCAGTGCAGGGACTTCACATCCACTGAAGCAGGAGTGCCAGGGTGCAAAAACTTTGTTGAAGATCAGGGAGGGCGATTTATACCTGCGACAGGCTCAGGACGCCGCCGCTGGCCAAGGCAGGTTCCCCTGGCCCTGCACGGGGGGCTACGCTGGCGCACCAGCGGCAGAAAGGTGGGCTTGTGTCCAGCTGCCTCTGAACGATCCCAGCTTATTTCCCCGGGAATCTCCAAAAGGGTATTTGAGCTCCTCACAGGAGGAAGCCCCTGCTCCATCCTCCCCTGGTCTAAAGGACGGTTCCTGCTCCCTGCCAGGGCAGCGCTGGGCATCAGCGAGGGGGAGCCTGACAGTGCGGTGGGTACGCACCCCCTCGCCCTCAGCGTTGCCTTGGGAGGAATTCGGGACCTTGCGGGCATGTGGCTCAGGTGCTCGGCTCTGTTTGCGGCGGAAATGCCCCGTGATGAGGCATCTTCCGGGAGGTGCTGAACCCCCTCTGCAAAGGGCTCCGTAGGTGCTACTTCTGGGGCCATCTCGCCCCTCTAACTCCATGACCAGGCAGACCCTGTGTCCCCTCGGATCTCTCTGGGACCAGCTCCGGCATCTTTTTCCTCCCTCCAAACACACCCATGGGCTCCATGTGGGAGGAGAGCCGCGCTGCTCCTTCCCTGCATCCCAGCTCTCCCCAAGCAGGGATCTTCCCTAATCCATCCTGACTCTCCCTTTATGTACAAAGAAGTATTTTTAAATATCCATTGTTTATTCTGTAGCAACAGCCAAAGGAGCTGCTCTGATCCATGGCACAAACATATTTTCCCAGAGTTTTCTAAACAGCCGCTTGACCCGCTGGGCAGCGCTCCCCCATAGGGTCTCCCTGGGGCTGCCTCTGCCTCCCCCTGCCCGCGGTGGCTGCGCAGGTGGGGAGCTGGGCCAGCGTTTCTGGCCGGTGGCAGGGACGGGCAAGGGGAGAGGATGCTTTGCTGGTGCCTCAGCCCTGGGGTGGAGGGCGCAGCCGGGGTCTGCAGCACGGCGGGGGCGCGGGGGGAGGCTGTGGGGCAGAGGGGACGGGGGTCAGGGCTGTGCGAGGCGCAGCATCTCTCTGCTTCAGCTTTTCCAGCTGTAAAACTGGGACAAAGATACTGAGCCACGTTACTTCCCCTGCCTTGATGAAATGCCTGGGACTCTCCCTTCCTCTCCCCAGTCGGGTCGGCTCCCTGGGAAGGGAGGAGGGCTCCGAGCTCTCCTGGCTGGGAGTGGGAGGAAAAGTCTCATTTAAGTGCCAGAGAGAAGACTTCAGAACGTCAGAAGCGGTGTTTCGGATGCCTGCTTCGGCACCTCGAGGAAGCCTGACCGTTTGTCCCGCCGTGGGCAGCGTGTCTGTTACTCACTTTGAACGTGGTGGGAGCGCTCCTCTCCAGGGCAGGGTGGTGTGGAGGTGGGCTGAACACGCCATGAAGGTCTGTCTGCGGGAGGATGCACTGTAAAACCCCCGGTGCTGAGCCCTGCAGCCCTTTCGGTGCCCAGGAGCCAGCGCAGAGTCCCGCTCTGCTGCGTGGGCGCACGCTGGGCTGATGGGGGAGCAGAGGCGAGGATGGGGAGCGCAGGGGAGGATGGAGAGGCACCAGCCCCCGGTCACCCAGCAGGGTCCTGTCAGACCCGGGCATCCTGCGCCCCTGCTCCGTCTCTGCCAGCTCCATAGAGCCAAGCGCAACGCCCTCGTTATCCACGGATGTTCCCACAGGTGCTCTCGCTTTATTTTTCAGGCACAAACTCCAACTGCAGCTTCGTGTGCTGACACATGTGGGAGTTGTACATGCAGCTGCGTTAAAAAGACAGTGACTTTCCTGTGTGCATCTTGCTTGTGCCATGTGTCCTTCCAGTGGAGGGACAAATGGCCCTCTAAATAGCAAGTCCAGGGCTCGGTCCAACCCAGCAATTAATGCCAGAGCTGGGAGCTAAAAAGGGTTGCATCAAGCCCTCGTCTGACTGCTTTGAAAAACCAAAACAGTCTTGTAAAGATCAAGCTTGTAAAAACGGGACTCTGTTTTGCTAGCTCATGAATGGGAAGAAATGCCAACTGGATAATTTTTTACACATATCTTTTTTCCTCTTTGTCAACATTCCCCCATTTGGCTGAAACTTCAAAATGCCATATTTGGAGAGCGCCCGTCTTAGAAGTTCCAGTATTTGTATAAATAGCCGATAGTGAAAAAATTACCCGTTCTGGAGCCTGCCCAGGAGCCTACGGGAGGAGCAGAGCTGGGGGCAGCGATGGGGCAGAGGCTGCTGGGGCTCTGGAGCCACCCAGTGCCTTCCAGTCTGACGTGGCTCCCTGCTGCCGTGTGAGAGTGGAGAAGGAAATGTGGGTGGGGGTCTCCAGAACACCAGCACCCACTCGAGAGCAGGAAGGGGAGCAGCAGAGGTCTGCCCATCCTCCACCCCCAGCTGGGCAGGGGGTTTGGGCAATAAATGTGTAAGTGAAATAGTGGCTGTGAGACGCCCTGGATGTCATCTTTTGGGGCGGGGTTGTCACCTTACCATCCCTCTGCTGATGTGGAGGGGACAGGGGTGTCATTGTCCCCACCAGGGACAGCCTGTCCTCCCCAGGGAGAGCCTGAGCACGGTGAGGGGCGTACAGAGAGGAGCACATGGTGAGGGGCTCCTGGCAAAGTGCCGGGGTGCAGGGCGAGGGGCTTAGAGCAAGGGGCGCAGGGGGAGATGCTGCGGTGCGGGGAGGAGGACCGGGGGA